TGGAAGCGTGGGTATTTTTTGGGACCGATTTTCAAGAAAAAACGTTCATGCTTTCAAGATTTGTTTTTTACAAAAAAAACGCTTCTGCCACGTAGAAAGTGAGCAATATTATACTATTCAGTAAGGTGATTTTTATCACCGTTTTTTATGTATATGCTGACAGGTAAGCACCACATAGGATACACATCAGTCAACCGTTGGGGGAAACGGTTCACCGATGCATGAAATGCCAAATTTGGTGTTTCATGCATTGGTGGGGTCCTGATTTTCGAGGCATGCCCGATTTTTTAATAATCGGCTGAACCAAACAATGAAATACATGGGCATTTGTTAAAACACCTATGTGGATCCAACGTGGTACCGTTTTTTTGAAAAACGGCCATGGTTCCAAATATCCCCTTTAAATGGGCCCGATTGCCCAAACCCTAGCTCAAGGCCCATGTAATTGTTCTTTTTCTTTTTTTATTTTTTTTTATTATTTTTTTTATGTTTCTTTTGAAGGGCTACACAAGGGTAGCCAAGCCCATCCCCCAACCCATGTGGAGGCGGGTTCCGATGTTGAAATTCTTAAAATTGTGCTATCCGACTAGTAAACCCAAGTTTGATGGGTTGGGTGATTGGGTCAAAGCTTTAGCTCGATACCTCCTCAAACGTGACATTTCGGACACTTGGTCCATAATGAAAATTTTCATAAGTTCAGAATCTTGGCTGAATGTTTTTGATAATTGTAATTGTTCTATTAATTTTGTTATGGGAAAAACTATGATACTAGAAAGACATGTTATTGGAAGAGATTTGACCAATCAAGACATGTTATGGGAAAAACTATGATTGGTCACCTTTTATATGATATTGGTTGATTGGCTGTAAATTTTTTTTTGGGTGATATCTTTCTGGTATCATAGTGAAACCCGCTATGGGAAAATGTATGTTATATTTTGTTAAATTTTATATCAACGCCATTGTTTCTTTTATTATTTTTATAGCACTCCAACATTTTGGTTAAAATAGATGGCCAAATCCCAAAGTTTTGGATGAAATTCCGAAATTTCTGTGGAACTAAATTTGCATGATGTATTTCATGTCACATTGATGGTTTTTATTTGAAACGAAAATTTCGTAAAATTTAACTGAGATTAATTTAAAACATGGCTTGTGTAGAGTGTAAAAGAAAGAGTTCAGATCCTAAAAATGCTTTGTAATAGGTTTAGTATTTAGTCAGAACTCAGAAAAAAAAAAGAAACTGTGCCTTTTCGTATGGTCCTTTATCCTCCCGATCCAAACATAGCTGAAATACAAAGGGTAAAAAAATATTGAAGAATGAATGAGATGAAAAGAAGAACAAAGAGCGTGACAGTCCAAGAGAACAAACCATTATTGACAATTTAAGAAAAACCATAAGGCCTGGTTTATTTGCAATGCAATTTCATTTGCATTAGTGCCAAAAATATCAGGATGCATGCAAATAAGAAATTGCATTGCAAACAAATGGAAGCAGCGTGGAAAAGTATGGTGCACCTTGATCCAAAGAGTTGAACAGCTTGCAACCGAAGCAATGGAACATTGTGAAATCTTTCTTTTTCGGTACTTTACTACTGATTTGGCAGCAAAACATTTGTATCGATCCCTTGGAAAAAAAAATAGAGGGGTGTCCAACTGTTTGAAAAAGAGGGTTTGTGGAACAAGCTTGCCCCATTTGGCAGCGCTGATGTGAAACCAAGTTCACTTTAATTCTCAGGTAAACTATCACACTTCAAGTCAAAAAAGATGAAAAGCCAGCAAAGGGGGAAAAAAAACAGAAAAGGAAATAATTGGAAAGTTTGCTTGGTTGCTTATTGCATTGGATAAATGAATTTTCTAAAGCAAAAGCATGATAATGTTTTCACTTATGTTTTTCTTCTACTTTTATGTATTTGCGGCTAGAAATGGAAAGAAATTAATGGTATAAAAAGATGAACATAACAAGAATCGTCACCCAATGTAAAAAGTCTTGAATAGAAACATGTGTTTTGAAAATAACTAAGAATTAAAATCGTATGTGAAGAAAATACTCAGAGTTTGCAGCTTGCCTAAGAAAATACCATACCATGAAGCTTTAAAAAATATAAAAATATGTAAATAATAATGCATAAAACATAACAAGTGAATGGTTTGAATTTTTAAAATCACTATGGATCAAAGTATGGGATATTTTTATATTCAAATATATTTTCATGGTCTATTTTTCTAAATGCATAATACGCCGCTCACAATTAGGAATGGCAATGGAGCGGGTTTAGGGGTTGGGATGGTTTGCCACTCTCCATTTCCATCACCGTGAAAAAACTCATCTCATCCCTGTCTAATGTCTTCCATGGGCTGGGATCCCCACTCCTAACCATTTTTTTATATAATGTCGATTTCATTTCATCTTTTATTTCAAAAAAATAAAAATAAAATATTTACAATTTACAATTCTATCAAAATAATTAAGTGTGCTCAAATATATCCAATCATAGTTTATAACAATATTAAGACAAATTCATTGGGTAATTTATAAGAAAAACACAATTACTTAATATAAATCCCAAGTTTTGAGCCTCAAAGCCTTACAACCTAGTTATTATTTATTAAAAACCTAAATAGCTATGGTTTGAAATTATATATGGTCCTTGATCCCATGGGTCAGAGATTGGATTGGGGACCCTGTGGGGTGGGGAGTCTTCTCCCCATCCCTACCGAGTTCACATCTCCTCTCCACGGGGGGCCGCCCCACAGCACATCTCCACTATGTATTGAGAATATCTCCTGATGATAACATCATCGGTTCTGGTATTATCATTGGGAGATGTTCCTAATACATGGTGGGGATGTGCTGTGGGGCATTGTGGAGTGTCCCCTTGTGGGGAGGAGATGTGATCTTATCCCTGTCAATGGAGGGCAAAAATTTCTCCATCCTCATCCCTGCAAGGAAAAATCATTTCGCATCCTTATTCCATTATCAGGGTGGATCTCCATGGGCATAGGAGACATAGGAAAAACTGCCATCCCTATTTACAATTCACCACTCCGTTAAGAAAGAAGAATATACCGGACTAACCATCTACTAAAGTCTCCTATGTAAAAGGACCCAGGAATCTTACATGTGCTGTGCCTGTGCAGCTGGAAACATCATGCAGAGATTTATTAAGGTATAGTGATCAGGTGATATGGAGGGTCTGTGTGAAGAACCTTTTCTATCGATTTCCATCCATGAAACGTTAAAAGTAGGAATAAGGATCCGAGGTGGTTAGTGTGATGGCGTTAGTTAATTCCAAAAGTTGCTGATTGATTGTGGAACTTGGATTTCAGGGCCTTATATTTATGTTTATGAATCCAGATAATGTAGTGTTGTCGTTTAACGGTATAAGGATTTATTTACCACACCATCGATAGAAGCCCAGGCTCCTATGATTTAGTGTCTCTGACTCGAATCTTTGCCTTTATCTTTTCATTTTTAATTTTTGCTTTCTCTAAAGCAAAGCAGGATTTTGTGACAGCCACATGGATCTATTGCCGGGAACACAATCCGGAGAAAACAGAGTTGGGGGGGTGGGGTGCGCGGTGGTTACACTTGGATTCATCTCTCTCTCATCTCATGTGTTCAGTAGAGGGAAGTGAATTTGAGTGATGGAATACAGCAGTAGTTGGAGTTGGATTAGATAACATCGTTGAATCGGATTATTGCATGTGTTGTTGCTATTGTCAAGCCGCAATTATCGCTGACAGTCTAACCTTCAGAGAGAGAGAGAGAGAGAGCTCGTGGCGAGGCCACTCAATGACTATACATAGCGGAGACATTAAAACATTTTGGCTTATCTGTTTGATTTATTTATCAAATATGAAGATTACAGAAGAATGCATTGGATTTATCTTTTCATAACAATAAGAAACCTTTTTTTTATTATTTTTATGATGTCGTCTCTTACATTATTATGTTCAACTTATATACGTGGGTTTCATAATAGTTAAGGAATGCCTAGGATTCATTATTGTTGATCAAGATTCCAAACTTATACTTGCAAAAGCAGATTATTTTGATCCTCTTTGTCTACTATATATGTCATTGGTTTGAAATTTGCTTTGAAAATCTTGTACCAAGCTAAGGAAAAATGATCTTTTCAAGTTCTACGTACAGTTGGTGGGTTGGTTTTTGACTTTAGACAGGTTTAAGGCCAATATTAGACCGCCGTCAATTTTCTGTAGATGAAATTATTACATTAATTGAGACCTTAAAACTAACATGAGTGAATTAAGGTTATGTTTGGTTTGAAGGAAAATGTAGGGAAAGAAAGGGAATAGTAAGAAAATCTTTACAAATTTTGTATTGGTTTCTCTATTTCTCCCTCCCTTTCCCTATATTTTCCTTCAAACCAAACATAGCCTAATTGGATGGATTGGCGGGTCGCATAAAAAAACTACCATAATTACCAACCCATGAGGCCATGAGTTCTTTAATCAAAGATCAGAGTACTAATTAACAATTAAGAATTGGTAATAAGAGGCCGAAATGAGCTAATTATGCCAACGTGAATTATAGATTAATTGGTCTGAACGTGCAAGACATGATTGGAGACAAACAATCTCTCTTAAAAATTAAAATATATCCCTCGGACTCGGAGGGTCGTCGTGGCCCAAAGCTGATAATACCCACACCATTTTCTCTACTGGTCAGATATATGGGATATAATACACAGAACCAGACATTACAGTATCAACCTTGGTCGAGAGTCGAGACACTTTAGGTCACACTAGATCCCCAGCATCGAATCCACCCCACCATGTTCTTTTCCACATTTCCATCGGTTTTTAAGTTACTAAGACCGACATCCGGCACGTGTCGCCGAGACAAACCAACATCACTAATTAGAGAATTAGAGATTACAGGAATTAATTAAAGTCAGTTTAGTACAGTGTAGGTTCGTTTTCTAATCTGCTTTAAAGATTAAAGTTCTTTTCAAGTTTGAAGGAAGAGAGAGAGAGAGAGAGAGGCGTGCGATCACGACGGCGACAAAGAAGAGCACGTTAGCATGGGCCACGGTTGGTTGGTAAATTCCTCCACCAGCCACCAGCTGCGACCGTCCCTTAGAGTCTAAGTCTCCTCTTTTTCTAAGACACTTTAAAGTAGAAATTCAAAAGGAGAAGGGATTGCCTTCTGGGTTTTTGGACATAGCTAGCTGCTAGTCGTGTATCTCTATCTTTCTCATGAGGAGGCTTTGCCCCAACTTCGATCGTGAAGATGGACTTGACACCGTGCTTGAAGTTCCAATTCCAGAAGAGATGTTCGTATCCAACACTAAACACAGCGGCAGATCATGGCAGAACATGAAGTCATGGATGAGATCACATTCTCAAAGATCAGCACCATCGACGGCGGCTCTCGTCGGAGGTCGAAGCACTGAGCTACAGCTCTTGTTGGGAGTTGTTGGTGCCCCTTTAGTCCCTCTTCCTGTCCGTAGCGATCAGTCCATCAATGGAAACATCAAAGATCACCCCATTGTAAGTAAAACCCATTCTTCATCTGATAAGGATTTAGATTGAAATTACGATTCCAAGTTAGAAGCCCGTCTTGTCATACGCAGGAAACTTCCATGGCTAAGTATATAGTTCAGCAATACATAGCGGCCACAGGAGGAGAGAAGGCTTTGAACTCTATAGATAGTATGTACGCCGTGGGGAAGGTGAAGATGATGGCTTTGGAATTCTCTACAGGTGACAGCAACAATAATAACAGAGGAAACGGCAAGAAGACGGTCAAGGTTAAGAGTAAAGGACATGGAGGGGAGGTGGGGGGGTTCGTGTTGTGGCAGAAGAAGCCCGAACTCTGGTGCCTGGAGCTCCTGGTATCTGGATGCAAGATGAGCGCAGGGAGTGATGGTAAGGTAGCATGGAGGCAGACCCCATGGCATAGCTCACACGCATCTCGAGGTCCTCCGAGACCGCTTCGTCGTTCTTTGCAGGTATTTCCTTTTCCCTCCCACTCTCTCGAGGCTCGAGCTCCACACAATCGTCGAGATTCAACAATAGGGTTTAGACTTTAGACCGATAATGGCTTTTGTATATACAGAAAAACTTGAACTAAATAACTGCTTTAATGGCAGTATTCAAGGCACTATCTAGCTAGCCGTTATATTACTTCAGGATCAGGATCTGAGGGTAGTGAACTAGTGATTCGGTGGAGATGAATTTTCATAGTAGATAATAAATAAAACCAGATTTCCTTTTTTAAATTTCTTCGCCTAAGTACTAAAAAAAGAAAAAGGTTCACTTGGTTGTCACCAAAAAGAAGGGTCTTAACTGAAATGCAGTAATACGATCCATAGCAGAGAGAAATAAAGTTTCTATTCATGTTGGTATCTGGAGATGACAGAAGGAGTCTCTCTTTACAGCTTATCAGCCATGTTCTTCGATTCATTAAAGTTTACAGCTTTTCTATAAACCAGGTCTAGAATAGAATTTCATTTTCCCAGTGAACGGAATAAATTGAAGTCCGATGATATGGCGCATGAGGGTGAGGAATCCTTGAAGAAAAGAGATTCCAGACAGTGACTTGACTTTTATTTTTCATTGATTTCCATGGGTTGAATATAGTTCTAGCAGAGGACAGAGGACTCAAATCTGTCGAATTAGCTTAGCCGGGTCGTTAAAAGTCCATTCAAAATACTCCTTTATTCCTGGTTTTCAGAGTTTGCATTATTCTTCGTTTGAAAAGAGAAACAACTTAATTTTAATAAAAAAAGTCATACTCTTACCAACTTATTCTGGTTTTTCTGATCAAAAGAACCCTAAATAATCGATATATTTTTGTATTTAGTTGACCAAGTTCAGGTTAAGATCATTGGTCTGTCGATCCAACATTTTGTTTCGCCTCCATCAACGGATTGATGGTTCTTAGATTGCATTATTTTAATAATTAATCAAGACTTTCTTAGAGTGAAAAAATCCAAAGGAGGAGTTAATTTCCCTCCTTTTAGAAGGGAGGGAAAGCTCCTTTTCACAGTCGATGTTAAAACCACATCATCGATGTTATCATGAAAGTAGAAGATTTTTTGAAACATGCATGGGAGACGGAGACCTGGTCTTGCGCTATGCTATCCACCATGAAAAGGAGCATTCCCTCCTTTCCAAAAGGATGAGCGGTGGTTTTCTGAAAACGGTGGACGGTGGTTATTACTTATTACACATAAAAAGTTTGTAATAATAAGTAGGGTGCCCTCGTTACCGCCTGATGCAAAGAATCAACTAAAATTTTCTTCTTCGTTTGTTTTCCCTTCTCTTCTCCATTTCCAGGCAACAGCTGGTAATTTATTCTTATACTCTACGTGCAGGGTCTTGATCCAACCGCTACTGCCAATTTATTCTCAAATTCAGTATGCATAGGCGAGAGGACAATCGAGGGTGAAGACTGTTTTGTGCTAAAGCTGGAAGCGGAACCCTCATCATTGAGAGCTAGAAGTAGTAACAGCATGGAGATTATCCGCCACACTGTGTGGGGCTACTTTAGCCAGAGAACTGGGCTTCTTGTTGAGCTGGAAGACTCACACCTTCTCAGGATCAAAACTCCCAGCAGTGATGATAGCGTTTACTGGGAGACCACCATGCAGTCTTTTACCAAGGACTACCGGCCTATAGATGGCATAAACATCGCTCATGCCGGCCGGACTGCCGTTTCATTGTTTAGGTTTGGGGAGAGCTCGGAAACCCACTCAAGGACGCGAATGGAAGAGGTTTGGACAATCGAAGAGGTTGACTTTAACATTCGGGGGTTGTCAAAGGACTGTTTCTTGCCACCTGGCGACTTGAAGAAAGAGCAGCAGGAAGGCTATGACATCGTGGCCACTGATGTCCGTGTTCCGCTCAAGCCTCGATCTGCCTGTGTCAGGGTTGGTTCTTCAAGGATAGTTGCAGTCGATGTCGACGATTCAGACTCCACAGATGAAGAAGAGTAAATTGTAAAACATCCTTCTTTTTTGTTTTGTATATACGGCATCTTCACTTATTGATCGATCCTTAAGAGTACTATTACATGCTGAGTTTCATCGGTATTTGATGAATTCCACCCATTAATTAGTTGCAGAGTATAGACCACCAGATTGAAGAACAAACACCCAGGCATAGGCTGTTGTCTACTGTAACTATACTATACTGTTGAAGATGAAAAGAAAAATAATAAAGGGAGTGGTGATGGTTCAACGAGGAGGCTCTCATTAAATATGTAATATCTCGTGAGAACCTCTCGCTAGTCGCTACCATGCATTCATCGCTCTAAAATTCAGACAACAATGATGTTGTTTTGCAAAGGAACTGATCTTCTACGCAGAAAAAAGTAGATGACATGATGATCTTGCAAAAGCAAAGGAAGAGTTTGAACTTCAATTGGAAATAGGACCTACTTATTACAAGGGCAAATTCTACTTTAGTACCCTGAATTTTGGGTAGTGTTAAAAGTTAATATTGGAACTTTCAAACTTGTCACTGTAGTATCGACCGTCAATTATCTGTTTAAAAACGTTAAAACCCTTAAAAGAAAGACACTGCTTATTATCTACCTTGAGACTGAATTGGATAAGGCGTTTGAAATTCTAGATTAATAAAGTCATTGTTTTCTACTTTTATATCTAAAATACATTCTTGTCTATTTATTTCTTTGCTTTCAGTTATTATTCCCTCTATTATACTTCATTTTTTCTTCTCTTTGATAACAGGTTCAATCAATGAATAGTGTATTCTTTATAAGGGTAGTTTTGACATTTTCAATAAACAACCGACAGTTGAGACCAATTTGACACTTTTTGAAAGTTTAGGTACTACAGTGAAATGTTTGAAAGTTTGAATACTAATTTGACACTACTCCCAAAGTTCAGGGTACTAAAATTAAATTTTCCCTTATTACAAAAGCTAAGGTTTGGTGAAAATAAGAGAAATAGAAATGACAACGAGCTGGTTGATAAGGCCTGTTGGTTGTAGTGGAGACTTGGGATCAAATCCTGCCTACACCTAGGTTGGAACTTAGAAGTGTCCGAGGGGTATGGGCTACCCCATTGTGTAGCCTTCATAAGATATCAAAAAAAAAAAAACTGAGGGAAAGTTCATAAAAAATTTCACACTTTCTGTTTTTCTCTTGTTTTCTTGCGGACATAGCTGAAGTTCATACTCGAGGAAAGTTTGTGCAAACATCTTGTGGCCAGTGTTTGTAACCTATGCCGTTAATATGGTTTTCTTATTTTTATTGTTAATAGCAACAGTTCTAAACATGGTTTCTAAAATCGAACTGGACCGGATGGTCGGATCGGAAAAAACCGGGAACCGGTCAGGTGATTGGTTCTGTTTTCCCCAAAAATTATTGATTTTGGTCAACAACGTTTGAACCGTTCGACTCAATAACCAGACCCCTAACCGGTTCGATCTCTGAATCGGTTTTAAAAACCATGATTCCAAATGCTGCCTTTGTTTGCGGTGTAAATGTTGATTGACTAAAAATTCTATCATCAGTAAATACGGACCAGTATAAAACTCCACTTCTGGTCTGTATTTTCATGCGCATTTGGTTGGAGTGTGAGGCATCGATGTTACATCATGCACGGTTGAGTTTTACATCTATGGTCGATGTAAATACTACGCCAATTTTATACATTCCAAGAGTTCACTAATTTAAAACCATTGGCATTGAACTTCATGGATGTACTTTTACATCGATAACAATTTACAGCAAAAAAAAATCTTCTAAGAAAATGGCATACCAATGCAGAACTATTTTCTTATAAAACACCTCTCAAGAAACGACATTGATTCTAAACATGGTCTTGATCCATAAGGGGTTTTTGGGCATGGAGATATGGACAGTTGGGAATTTTGTTTTCCAAAAACAAAGAAACAGCTTCCACACTGACTAACAAAATATCAGTATATTTTTGCTGATTCGACGATTGTTTTTGTTTTGAAAAACAAAATCACACACATTGACAAGAACCTGCCTGCATTAGCTGCAGCACTTGATGATGGATGTGCTAGGAGCTGTTTAACGAATAATGATGCCCCACATCAACCACCATAAGTGTATCTAAAAATCCGAGTTAGGGGGCTGCTGATTTGATCTCATCTAATCTGCACTCCCTTAAATTTTTTTTCCCCACTCGTTATTGGGCCTCATGTTCTGGGCTTTTCTTGGTTAGGTCCAAGTCCGAGTCGCCCGACAAGCTTAATAGGTCCATTAGGTTGTTGTGCCTGTTCTTCCCTGGTCCATCTACACATCATTTCTGAATTTTCAGTCCAAATTGGTTGGCCTCTCAAGGCTCAACTAACATGGGGCCTCACCCATTTAATCTTTCCTGCCGCCGATAATCTTCTACTCTAGCAAAATGCCCAAAAGAGAATCTGAGCAGCACGGAGGCTTGAGCAGTGTTCGAAATCCATAACTGGTGTCTGGTAAGCCCTAACCCTACTTCTTCGCTTGTTCTCAGCTAATTTCTTTTCGTTTTTTTTTGACTCTATTGTTCAACAATTATCCTTCTAGTTTAATAGTTTAATTATTCACGCATTTTTGCTTTCTTGTTTTTAGTTTCTAGACTAGATATCAATGTGTTTCATCTAACGGTTTCTATTCTTATTTCTACATATATTTCTTCTGCGTTTCCTTTCTTACTGCTCATTTATTTTTTGTTTTTAGTCTTTTGCAGTTCATGGTTTCCTAATTTTCGTAGTAAACCATGGCGATTCCGAACGTCTCTGCACTTTCACCGAATTCTCGTCTTTCTTCTAGTCCCCTGCAGCTTTCGACACATTACTTGTCCAGATTATGCAGCAACGCAAGTCCTCTATATTTTCCCCTTTTCGCGACAATTTCTAATCCCCCATCCGCCCCCTGCGTGCGCACTTAAAACTTCTATTCTTTCTTTATTTTTTGGGGGTTTCTGGCTCATTTATTAGTTTTAATATCCATATATTCACCAATTAGTAGTTTATTGTCTAATCGTGGGTTCAGTAGATTTTATTCCGCATCTTATGTGGGGCTTTCTGTGGTTTATATTGCCGTAATGGTTAATGAGCTAATTCAGTAGTTTATTCTCAACTGAGAGTTTTCTTTTCTTTATTAAATTTAATTGGAAAAATGGCCTATTTAAGATTCCCTTATTATTATGTATATATGTTTATTTCGAGATTTTATTTTCTAGACATGTATTTTTGATATCCAGGAATTCAATATGCCATGTTCGTTCATGAATAATTCTGGGCCCTTTAGGCACCAAACTCGGCCTTTCTCTAAACAATGCAATGCAGTGTCAGCAATCTCTTCTGGAGGTCGAGGAGTGTTCTGGTGCAAGCCGGATCATCATCTTCCCAGCCTGCGATCAAATGCTGGTGCCGAAGTAAGTAAGTATTCTTCCCTTTGTTTCTTTGAATTTGCTCTTAAGATATTCAGTACACTTTTAAACATGTTCAAAGCAAGATATGAATGACAAGTAACAATCAGACTTCTCTATGGATCTTCTATACGTAATACAGATAAAGATAATCTTTTATACATAATCTAACTCCTCTTGTCTAAAGTCAGTGTAGGCTTTTTCAGTCTATTGCTTTCTGCATTGTCAATGGTCACTTGTGTTTCTTCTGCTGTTTGAGATTTAACAGTTCCTTAAGTTATGATTATGAGAGGTCTAATGAAGGAGCTAATGAATCAAATATATGGTTTTCTAATTCTTATGTATTTATCGAAAATAATTGGTTCTTGAACAAGCTTTCAACGTCTGCCAGGGGGGTAGTCACCTACACCAAATAAAGAGAAGTGCTCCCAAATCAAGCTCTTTTTTTGTTTGAAGGAGACCACCTCCTTGGTCCACATTGTAATCAGCCCCTGCTCCCAAGGAGCTACAACCTTTTTCATATGATCAACAATTAACATTTGCCAACAATCTTTTCCATCTGTTCTCCCACATACACGATAACTAGTAACAAGCAACAAAAGAGATTTTATTTTTTAAGTTAGTAGACCGTTACAAATATATAAAGAACTATTGGCAAAAAACCATAAGTATAAAAAGGCACATGCTTGCCTTGAAACTCAGCTATTGTGCGGGTGCCTTTTGGTTCAAGTGAGATCAAAATGCATCTCGCCTGTTAAAACACTGGGTGTTGCATGCAGTGGTTCATGAAGCTGTAGATGGTAATGGGGGTTCTATTATGTCCAAACTCCAAAATTGGCTTGTACAGTACCTTATGTTTCTCCAAATCTTGGCAATTTTTTTTTTATGCAGCCCATCATATCCTTTGGGATGTCTATCTTGTGAACTTTATGCCCATCTCAAATAATAAAATCATTTTATGTGACATATCCAAAAAAAAAAACTAAAAATTGATCTCTCTCACATAATGACCTTCAAGTCCTGTACCATTGTTTTTTTCTTTGAATTCCTGTACCATTGTTTCCCATATGAAAATGCATTGTTGTGAATTGTGTATACCTTTCAAACCATATGATGTTCAATCCTGGTCAGATATGAAACTTCCCGCTTTTTTTTTTCTTTTTTTTATTTAGATAGTGGGGTTACTAGTTATTGCTTAGTGCATTGGTAAGATCCTAGGCTTAACAAGCATGGGAATGTAGATTTTAGTTTGAGAGCAGCCACTCTGTGCAAAGCATAAGGTTTGTATTCAATCCACCCCTCTCAAGACCCCAGATAACTAGGACCAACATTGAACAACCGTTAGATGGTAAGGATCTCTTAGTCATTTTATAGGTTATCTATGTGGTCCGTTCTAGGGGTGGTCACGGTTCGGTTAACCAAACCGTGGGGTATTTTTTCAAACCGAACTGATCGGTTTTTTAAATACCCAAACCGAAACTGAACCGATGCAACCGGTTAACCGCGGTTCAGTTTTTTTATGCACTTAAAATAAAAAAAATTAAAACGGTCGGTGGACCAGTGGTTGCTATCGGTGCCGACCATCTGTTACTCTTCTGTTTATTTGCGAGAATTGTTTAGCTGGCTAGCCCCCTGAATTTCAGATCTGCTGGTTTTAGGCCTTTACAAATTACAAGTCGGGTGCTGGATCTCTAACTTATTTGGTGATGCAAGATACACACCCGATCATTGCCGTCATCTACTGGGAGCTTTGGAGGGTTTAGAAATGACCTCATTTTTAAAGGGGGAACATCATAGCCTAGTTCAGATCTTGCATTGAGTGCTTGAGAAGAGAGATGAGAGAGAGGTTTCTGTCGGCTGTCGCGGTGAGAGCTTGAGAGGTGGCTCCTGGAAGAGCCGCAAAGAGGAGAGATGAGAGAGAGAGAAGAGAGATACAAAGATGGTGTTGTGTTGGTGCTTGCTTGCCGGCGAGGCGCCGACCAGCATGCCGCTTGGTGTTGGTGGTTGGTGCGGGCTGTGCGACGGAGATGACATGCGAGAAGCCGAGAAGAGAAGTAGAGAACTGAGAACTGGGTTTCGAATTTGAAGTTGAAAAGACAAAGTGAGAACTGAGAGAAAAAGAGAAAGGCTGAATGTTTAGATTTTTGAAGAGACAGACTAGCAGTCACCAGTCTGGCAGTCAGCAGTTTGAGACTTTTAGCCTTTTTTCTTGGAACTTTTCAATTCGATTTTCAAAAATAAAATAAAATATATAATATATATATTATATTATATAAATATATATTATTGTATATATATTGGTCGGTTCGGTTTACTGCCATTTTTCTTTAAATGGTTAACCGAAACCGAACCGAAACTGTCGGTTTTTTAAGAATATCGAACCGAAACCGAACCAACCGGTTATATTAACCGATTTTTCGGTTCGGTTTCAGTCGGTTTTCTCGGTCAGTTCGGTTTTTCGGTTTTTTCTGCTCACCCCTAGTCCGTTCTAATCATCTAATTTGTATATTATAGTTAAAATTTTAATAATTAATTCAATTAGTTAAGGATTTTTGAGTTTGAGTCAAAGTATGATAATTGCATTAGTGTAATTTTCTACATGAAAAGACATGGGAGAATAAACAAATTGAGTTTGTTTGAGTTCTTATAGCTTATGCTAAGAGCATTGAGTGATTACATCTATCTATCTTTCTATTGCAAGCACCTATTACAGCCATAGGCATTCTTGAAGTATTTCCTGTTTTATTCATTTTCACCTCTTTGTGTCAAACCATCTCTGATTGCTCTCATATTTGGTAACTCTCCATAGATCTTAATCCCATTTTGTCTTTCCAAATTTCATCTAAAACCAGTCTCTACAATTTTGGTAATTTTTCTTATGGAGGCAATTTTTGGTCATTTTGTGGATAGCTTGCTAAAAATGCTTTTGAATTAATTCCCTCGTATTAAATATCATTATAAAGTTTCATTGAAAATGCCACCCAATTGGCTTTCTAACCCCTCTCAACTCTTCCCTTTAGTCTTAAAATCATATAGGTAGCTTCACTAACAATGAAAAGAAAATACAGTAACAACAAAGAACACCACTAACAACACGGACCAAACAATAAACACAACCAACAACGACTAACACATATCCTCTCTCAACACTGCAGCCAGGACCTGCCCTGCGCAGATTGGACAAAACTCTAAACAAAAAACTTCACCAACAAGACCATGTCTAGCGAAAAACTGAGCAACCATATTGCTGGACTTTGACACAAATGACACACGATATGAGACTCCTTCCAACAATTTCAAAATATCTTTGATAACAAACCAAGAGCTCTTTTCACACTGCCCTGACACTTTACCAAGACAAGACACTAAAAGCTTACAATAACTCAGTAATAATTCTTCTAAAGCCCTTTCCTCTTGCAAGCAAAACACATTATCTCATGGCCCAGGATTCAGAAAACTGAGCTGATATAGCAGGTCATGGACCTCCTTTTATAATAACCAAAGCACCCACATGATCACGAAAAACAACCCCAAAGGATACTCTTCTTTCTTTCCAAAAACAACCTTCAATATTGGCCTTCAATCACCCTGAGCTTGTAGATAGGGTTGTATGTATTCATTTTATTTCCTTTAATCTTTGGAGGGTCTTATTGTATTGCAATAGGATGTATATAGGCTTTCTTGTTATTTGCCTACCATAAGGGGCATTTATGTAAATGTGTGTATCTTGCCCTATTTAATAAAACATGCTCTTTAGGAGTGGGGCTATTCTATTGAATACACCTTCCAAATTCTTCTTTGTTACTACAAACATGAAACCCTATATGGGTAACAGATCTAGGTGAAATTCATTTTACCTTCTTTGGGCTTTGGCTGCCATCAGGCAATGATTTTTATCTGATAACACCTTATACACTTGCCACTGACCTGTTTACAAAAACAATAGAAGCACAAGGGTCTGGGTTAGAGTTAAAAACAAAATTGGTATCAGTACTATGGTCCTATATCACCACAATTCTGTTGTTGAAACTTGTGGATGTAAGAAAGTAGGTTGGTAGACATATCTCTATTTGTGCTTGTGCAGAGGTCATGCTATCTTCCTGTGTTATTCCAACTTTATCAGATGTCTCTGAAGGGGCACATATCAATGTTGCTGACTCTCTACTTCCGGTCTTAGACTGCATGAAGTTCAGGACCCAATACTTGTTTGCAAGCCTCATTAACAACATTGTGCAAATGATTTAATGGTTTTGGCATGACTAGGTTGATTTGTAGTTTCCATCAGCATAATGTTTTTTTTTTTTTTTTTTGATAAGTACATCGACATAATGTATTGTCTATACAACTTTATGCACATGATGCCTAAATCAACCTCTTCATAGGCAATTCTCCTGCTTTCATATAATTGGAATCACCTTTTGTTGCCACCCAAGTATCTGATTTTCCACACTAACAAATCAAGGCATAGAAACAAGTCTTGACCACCATTTGATCTGATGTGTTCAGAGATGACAAAGCATCATCCCACTTAAAGTCTTAATAAAAAAAATTGTAATAGACTGGCTAGACTCAATAGGGAATTTCAGATGGGTGTGTGCTTGGTGTCTTTATTTATAATTTGTCCCGACTCCTGAGAAATCTATTTCTCATTTCATAAAATCTCACTTTCTTAAGTCCTGATCCAAAAATACTAATATCTCATAGTGGTAAAGGATGAACTTTCTCTAGATGAAAAGATGATATAGTTGTATTTTGAATGCAAAAGCTGAACTGTAGACTGACAAATCTAAGCCCTCTGATTTAAATATCTTGTTGCTTATACTTCATTTCATTCTCATTATATACATGAAGGGTTCTGAAGACTTTACATTTCCTTTTGTATGTTCAAAATGCTGCTTCATTGAAAGATACTTAACAATAATTACACTACAAGTCTGCAATAATAAATTTTCTTCAGAAAGTGAAGTTAAAATCAGAAAATAGATTTCCAACAAAATGGTTCTACAAGAAAACATTTCTTTTTGATGTTCCCAGAGGATGTTTTGATTCCTTTTGTATTTTCACCTAGAGGTGTAAAGTTGAAAGAAAGAAACAGAGGAAAAAGAAAATAGATTTTGGAAAGAGTATTCCAATGTTAAAGAGTACTTGTCTTTGGTGCTAGTGCCAGTACTGAGAAATATTATATAGCTCTGGGATCTTGCGCAAGGAGGGGTGTAGTTTTGATTGTGCAACATCCAAACTTCTAACTGATATTAACAGTGGTTTTGTCAGTTATGTGGACTATGTTGGTCCATCTTCTACCAAAATACAGGATGCATAATTGCAACCTTGGTTGTGTAACACTCACAGATTTACAGTGTTTATCAGTACCTGTACCAAGAAGCATATTTCTGTACCATAGGATTTGGGTTTTAAGAAGTTAGGTACTTTTTCAAGAAAGATTATCTTCTTCTCCAAAGGAAAGTCCTGATCAAAACTTCTCAAACCTGTGTCAACATGACCTTCTGTGAATGTAGAAAATAATGGAGAAGGCAGAATCATGTCCTGAATAACAATCAAAAAACAAAAAATAATCGTGTCCTGAGTAGAAACAGAGTAACTTATCACATGTCAAAATAGGATTTTTGGTCTTACAAGTTAAAACACAATATGATTCAAAGTGAGAAGTAGACACAAAAACCTCTTGAAGAAAGACAGGAAAGTGTGAAAGTTAACCATTGCCATCTACTCAGGTCTGAATGGTGTGGGAAACTCTCTGAGGGCTGAAATAATGGCTGTGTTGGGAGGCTTCCAAAGGGCTAAAGAGCTGCATATTCATAACTACTAATTAAGGGGGACTAAAAGTTAGTTATTGAGTGGCTGCAAAAGGAAGAGGAGGCTGGATGGTGGAACTATATTAATGAGAGGAGTAAATGGCTGTCTCAAGGAATGGAAATCAATGTGCAATGGTGAAAAGGAATGCTAACTCTTTTGCTGATACTTTCGCAAAACAGGGGGTGGGAAGGGATCATTTGTTTTGGGCTGTTTTGTAATCTTGTGTTCATGTTATCTGGGTGGGGGAGAGCTAAGAAAGATTTTCTCTCCCTCTATCCTCTTTGTACATCTTTTTTTTTAATATTTTAATGAATCAGTTTCTGTTCATAAAAAAAAAAAAAACTGCATGAAAGTTAACCTTGCTATATGGTGAAAATAACGTGTTCAACCATATCCCAATTCACCAAGTTTGAAAGGATACGGTTCATGATTTTGAGTCCATCATACCAGGTATTGATGGTAAATTAGGAAAACATTCTATGTTACTGATCAAAAAAAAAAAGATGACATTCTATCCTGCTGTATGCATTGTAATACATATACGATTCAAATAGCAAATTGCACATTGTGCTGGTATCTGTTACTTCCTGTCAAAATTGTGACCTACCAAATAGATTGCTTGTATTTCTAAATCAGTACACATGTAATCCTATTATCCTAGCAACCATCCTCTTGGTTGCTGACCATCATGTAGTTTTTCACTTTTCCTTGCTCCACCATTACAGTTCTAATTCTGCTCTTATTCAGTGCAGTACTCCATGGCCGAACTCGCTCACATTCATGGAGACCCTCCCAAGTTAAAAGTGGGGATTCAGAGGGAACTTTAAGCAGCGAAGGCATTGTTCTGGATGAGCAAACCTTAGAGCGGGACTTGCAAATAGCCATCAAGGAGGAGGACTATGCCCAAGCAGCAAAAATAAGAGATAGCCTTCGGCTTCTCCATGAGGATAGCAGGGCCTCAGTTCTAGCAGCAAATGCGCGGTTCTACAATTCATTCAGAACTGGAGATCTGGCTACAATGCAATCCCTCTGGGCAAAGGGGGAGCATGTCTGCTGCGTACACCCTGGTGTGTCTGGAATATCTGGTTATGATCTTGTCATGGGGAGCTGGGAATTTGTGTGGGCAGATTATGAATTCCCACTTGAGATCGAGCTGAAAAATGTTCAAGTTCATGTTAGAGGTGATGTTGGGTATGTAACATGCACAGAAGTAGTTAAGACGAAAGGTAGCAATTGGGGTAAACAGTTTGCCACGAATGTGTTTGAGAGGATTGATGGTCGTTGGTTTATTTGTATCCACCATGCATCACATATTGATTTGTGAGACAGATAAAATGTAAGCTATGCCACGTGATAAGTGCCTTGAGTGCCAAATCTGTACAGTAGGTATGTGGGAAGGGAGTCTGTCTTGGATTTCTGAGATTATACCTGGGGATGGTTACCTTTTTGAAGTATGGGTCAGCGTTGCTAGAGGATGTGCTCTATTTCTAGGAGAGGAAATACTACTATAAAAAAACTTTAATCGTGGTGCATTTTGTATTTCTGTAAGTTTCTTATAATAACCTTTCCAAATATTTGTAGTGATATATTAATCTGATATTTCTTATTATCAACAATATGAATATGTAATGTTTGTGCTTATATGTTCTTGTAGTTTGGACTTGTAATCTCCTAGTCAGGATCTAACCCTGCATTGATATTGATGTCATGCTTATTGCCCAACAATGGTTGCTACCCTAATTGCCCACCAGTGGGAAAATAACGTTGAAGTTATGGTCCATGGTTCTTTGGATGCACGATTCTCCTTTTTGACTGGTCTAATCCTTAGATCGAGGGATGGATGCAATCATGCAATCTTGTTTCTCAAATGGAAAGTGATGGTTAAAGAAAGGGTACATTTCTTAAACTATCCATAATTGATTAAGTGTATTCTTACTGTTTGAAAATTGACTAACATTATCCCTATTGTTTTTAACAATTGATTAATATTTTTCTTATCGTCAGTGTCTATTAACGAAGGATTAAAAAGACTATTTTGCCCATCATTCTTCTTTAAATTTTCAAAATAAAACTTTTGACACCTTTCTCAGATTACCGAGGTTTATCTCCATATTGAAATCTCTCAAAAAATTTTATACTATTGATTAGTAAAAAAAAAATCATTAGAATAATCTTTGATCAACAAAAAAAGATGAATCAGAAGCAAAAACACGAGCCAGATTAGGTATCTATTACTCTATTTGAGTTTGGGGCCTATTTTAGCCCTTTTGGTTCGATAAGATGATGCTAATAGGCATATAGATGGAACTATTGGCTTTAGATATGTTTTTCGGGAATGACAACGGTAGAACTAGTAGCTTTAGATTGCTGAAGTCTAAACCATCTAAAGCCACCCACCGATGGCATATACAGTGGGGTGGAATATTCTAGTTCATGCCCAATTGCTCCGCTAATTCAGGTGATTGGGAAAGCCAAGTATATTTCTCTAAGAGCCCGATGACCCCTCGTTTTTGAGTGCTCTGACTTCTTTGATTAGGACTCGGATTGAGAAAACGTTGGCGACCTCTATGCATAGTGTTAAAGACCATCAACGAGCATCTTCTGCTCTATTCCTGATGATGTGCAATTTGGCAGCTCCCTTACTAGTTGATGATTCAAAAGCTGATTTGGATGGTTCCCTTGTCTAGGCCGAGTTGTGCTAGGCCGAGCTGGAGATGTTCGAGCTATATAACAGAGAGCTGTGTAATTTTTTGAGAGACATGCAGGGAAACAATATTAGCCGAGCTGTGTTGGGTCGAGCTATATAATGGAGAACTATGTAATTTTCTGAGAGACCGACAAAAAAACAATATTGGCTGAGCTGTGCTGGGCCGAGTTAGAGATGGCTGAAATGTTTTGTTCTACAAGAGAGACAAAGTTAGAGTGCCCAGGTGTCTTTACCTAGGGAGGGCACTCCGATGCTTAAGTCAAAGAGTGTTTTGAAAGTATTTTAGAAAGTGAGAGAGCTTGAGAGCTTGTAATCGCGCATAGCTTCTCTTAGAAAATGGTGCCTTTATATAGGTGTGAGGGATTAAAGACCTCTTGTAACGGGTCCCATCTTCTCGCGGAGCTGTGCGGGCGTTACGACTTGCCCGAATAACTCTGGCGCGGGTAGGTTGGCCTAACGATCGAGCATTATTACTCTGGAGAACTTGGTCTTGATAACATATCTGTGTAATAAGTCGGCGAGCACGCCTTGTAGGTCATCACTTATACCCTACTTAGCTCAGCCGATCTCCAAAGGAGGTCGCTCCTCAAGCGGATGTTCTTTAGGTTGGCCATGCCGAGGTGCTTTAGGTCGGCCATAGGTGAGGTGCTACTAGCCAACCTATTGGGGTGATCTACTTACTCAATGTCGAGGTGTTACATGGATGCCATGTGTCTCTAGAGATAGGTCTCCAGGTCTCTAGTAGGTCTTCGGAGGTAGGTCTCCAAGTCTCCAATAGGTCTCTAGTAGGTCGGCGAAGGTAGGTCGCCAGGTCTCTAGTAGGTTTCTAGAGGTAGGTCTTCAGGTCCCCAGTAGGTCTCTGGAGGTAGGTCTCCAAGTCTCTAGTAGGTCTTTGGAGGTAGGTTTCCAGGTCTCCAGTAGGTTTTTAGAGGTAGGTTGCCAGGTCTCCAGTTGGTCTCTGGAGGTAAGTCTCCAGTAGGTCTTTGGAGGTAGGTTTCCATCATTTTGGCTAAGGCAAGTCATCACCTACGTGCTGCCGGGGTGTCATCCAGCTATTTTGAGATGCCACGTGTCATGATGTCAATGGAGGGTCAAATCTACCCTCATCAATTCCCATCTAGGATCAGGGGTAACCCCTTAGTTCGACGTCAGAGTATCCATCGATGAGCCAGATACTGAACTAGCTAAGATTGAGTGGGACTTGCCAATGAAACGACGACGATTGGTGATAAACCCCTTAGTTATTACCAATCTCCTCTACAGCTCTGTCAGCATCGACTGATTGTGTTCTGTTTTGCATTCTCATGTTGTTCTTATTATTTGAGCGACTGTGAGAGAGTGACGTGTGCTCTATCGTTATTGCAACACCAATATCACACTCAACCAAACCCAAACCCCACTTGTGATCGTCTGTAGGAGGAATCTAGGCCAAGAGATTGGCATGTCTGATTTGTGAACCCACAACCCTTGTTATCTGAAACTCTAAATCTATCTGCATCCCAATTGGATCTTCGCAAGAACAACTAAGATTAGAGATAATGCAAACCATTTCCCTCAATGCCATTCAAAATGTTGTTTATCTACCGATGAGCTAGATATTGAACCAACTACAATGAAACAAGACAGATCATCGACAATTGGCGGGTCCCACAATTGGTGATAAACCCCTTAGTTTGATGACGATTTCTTCTAAGCCCATGAAGAAATCATCGTTAATTCGCCGACGAGCTAGATATTGAGTCAGCTACAATGAAACAAGACAGATCACCTCTCTTTGCTCGTTCACATTCACTCTAGTGAAGGTTTCACCATTCACCGTTCACTTAGAATGTCTGAGAATTGAAAACAATTGGGAGAGAGAGAGAGAGAGATGAATAAAATGGTTGCCGCCAAGCCAAAGAGAGGGTGAAGAGCAGCATCTGGACCCTCTGAAGCTACTTGCCACCGAGCAAGATGCTTGGACCCCCTTTTTTTCCTCTCTTTCTTTGAGGCTCAATGTCTGCTGGACCCTGTTCATTCTTTCGCTTTTTATCATCTTCTTTTATTTGTTTTTTCTTTTTCTTTTTTTTTTCACGCTTCACTTGGGGATAAGAGAGAGAAAGATGAGCAACATTGGGGTGAACCGGTGGGCAGAGGTTAAAGGGTTTTTTTTTTAGGAATGGAGGTGGGAAGGGTATTTTCAGAATTTTTGATAAATATATTAATACATGATATCATATGTAACGCAAAGTTAAGGGATGTTAATGGTAAGGATAGACTTAGTCAATTGTCTGAAACAGTAGGGGTAGCATTAGTCAATTTTAAAACAGTAAGGGTACACTTGGTCAATTAGCTAAATCATAAGGGCAGTTTAAGAAATTTACCCTTAAAGAAATTAACAGAAAATTCCAAAAATTGTGAATACTCACCACAAACATGTTTCAAAAGAACTGATGAGATGTGCCTATGCATTTTGCTTTGGCTCCGTTTAGGAAAAGTGAAAATACAATATGTAGGGTGCATTCTGCTCCATGTAAATGTAAAGTTAGTTTGGTTTTGCATTGATAAATTTGCTTTCATGTCAAATGATTTTTAATTGTAATGAATGCAGAGAGATTGAAATATACCGTTTTAACATTGATAAACTTTGAATACAAAATTTAAGAAAGGACGCACAATTTGCTCTCATTTTGGATGCAAATGTCTTGAAATTTACGAAAACTGTCACTTTCAATACATAAATACATTCTTACCAAACACCAACAAAACTGAACCAGAATGCATTTATGCATTGAACTGGCATTTGCACTCTCCTCAAACTGATCCTTTCAAGTTTTTGTTGCCATTATCCACCCACCTCGTTATCTAAATTCAACATTACCTATATGTTGCTGCTACTATCAGGAAAACATCTCAAGCCCATTCCAAACAAGAGCATCTGTTACTAAAGATGGCTTGAATAAAAGGAATAATATTATTATAATCATGGACAATTTTTTTTATTTTGTTGGGCTTAAAATGCACATTTGTATTGAATACAAATACTATTTCCTGCATACAAGGGAGTAGCTCGTCCCTCTACCCATAACCCCACCAACCCTGGTGATAACAAGATTTGATCCCAAGTCTCCCTACAACTAATACAAAAAGGACTGGTTGCAGAGTGCCTTCTTGTTCAATAATTTATGCATCGAGTCTGCAGAGGTCAATACTACCAAATACATAGATAAGGCCCCTTCTTAAGTGGTTCACTTCCTGCCTTATGCATATCCGATATAACTAAAAATGATGGACCTAAAGATAGTTCCTATGAACTAAACCCTCCCAACTGGAGATAGGGGCGGGTATGAGACATATTTTCCAGGTTCAGCTCCCGCAGGAGCTTTTATTCTGTCGTTTTCTAATGACACGGACTCATATAAAGTTTTTGCTTCATACAGATTATTTGCTTCAGCAAGGTTGTATTGCTTCTTATAGTTTAGGACTGCTATACAGATAGAGAATGCTTGTAGCAACGAGATTGAGCCATTGAAATCAATTGAGTAGATTCCTTTCTTGAATGATGCCAAGCTGAAGACGGGCCTCTTCTGTTGAGCTCCTCCCTGAGTAAAAGGGGGGAAAGATTGTCAGTTAACAGGATGTGCACAAAAGAGTTTGTACTAATGCAGGACTTCCAGTTCCAAACAAAATTTGTACCTGAACAAAAAGATCAAATCGATCTGGTGTGAGAGAAGCTTCAGATGAACTTAACTTATTGCACTGATTTTCATTGGCTAGTATATTGAGTTTGCAACCCATATCCCAACCTCCACAGTCGCATGATCCACCTGATTTCCATCTGTCAATAAGAGGTGAAGGTACTCCTGTACTAGGCAAACCATGAACACCACTTGGAAGTATGACTACTGCACTAGGAAGGCTTTGAGTTCCAACAGTAGACCCATTCTGTATGTGTCCACCAGAGTTGCATGACCATGTATCTTCTGGGAAAGGATTGGCAAAACCAGTATCTGAGCCATCCTCATCAATGCTTTGCTGTCCATTTCTAAAATATCCTGTGCCTTCTTTTGGTACTTTGACAACAATAGCAGCGAGTTCACTGTTTGGTTGGAGGTCAGGGGTTCCCTGATCTGTGCGTCTTAGTTCTACACCAAACAAGACAAACTCATTCACCAAAAAATGATCCTTGGAATCATGTGTGGTCAACTTAGGACTATGAGAGGTGGAAACCTTCATTTGACCAACAACATTTGAGACATAACCATGACTTTTACCTTTACTTCCTTGATTTATCCATCCCCCACTCTTCTTCTTAGTTTCACTAATGGAATAGAATGTATAATTCCAGCTAAATTCATCCTTCACAGATGAATATACTTTTTTCATTGTGGCGGCTAGAACGTCACTATTGTTGTCAACTGCAAATGTAAACAAAGGGTGTCCATTCTTAATTGTGATGTGTAAAAGAGCTTGCATTGTTGATGCCAGAAGTTTCTCCTGATGTGAATCATCGGCATTGGATGGGCCACAATTTGAGAAAGTAAGGTTTCTTTTCACTGACTGAAGAGTAGTAGAATCTAATGGTCCATCAGATGATCTAGAAGCCCTCCGTGTTGATGATGATGATTCTAATGATTGAGAAAATTGAAGACGGTTTGCTGACTTGGGCTTCAGTAGTGGGTCCAGTAGCCTTCTCAATGGGCTGGACCTGCCTCTGCCATTAGTATTTGTTTTATCTCTATTTGTATTATCTGAACAAACAGAAGCATCTGATCTCACTGGGCCAGACTTTGCAGTGACATATGTTGGGCTCAACTGTGGTACAACTGAACCCTCTTTATAACTGAAACTTCTTATCATCCGACCGGTGCTGGGCTGATTACTAGGAGATGGATATCTTACTTTAGAAGCTGCCACTTTTGCTGATTGTGAACCCAGTTTATCAGAAGGTTCAATAACAACTGAATGTGCAGGATTTGTGGTTGACTTGTTTCTCTCTGCATCTTCATTTTTGGATTGCCGTTTTTCTCTTCCATGTGAACTTGGAAACAAAGAAAATGCTTGAGAGGGAACTCTTGTAACCTGGTAATCTACAGAATGTGGTAACTTCATATCCGATTGTTTGCTAGTTTCAACTCCACAAGGAAGCGGGCAAGAGTGTGGGATGTCAGAGTAGAGCTCTGCAAAGTGAACCTCCTTTTCAGGAGAAAAACTCTTGCGACCTGCTTCTGTTGGTAATGTAGACCAAGACTGCTGGTAGATCCCTGAGCAACTACTAGAGCCTTTAGGGAAAAGGACTATGATGTTTTTGGGGCTGCCAGGGCTGTGCTGGTCAGGATGATCGAGGCCCAGTGCAGGCAACTGCTCTGTTCTATTTTCAAACTCACCATCTGGAGCTTTCAACTTTCCCTTTGAAGATAAGGGGACCTCACAATCTTTCAAATTTAATGATGAAACCCACCTTACTGGAGTGATCTTTGGATCTAAATCTTTCCTCTTACTCTTTTCTAGCTTAGTCTCGAAATAGATCCTGCCAAAAGGCAGACCAGTTCTAGGAAGCTTTTGCTGCCCAGCTGAGGTATTCTGAGAGAGAGCTTTGAATCTTTGAAGGCCCACGGAATTTGCTCCATAGGATTTCAAACATTGAGAATGGCCATCTGTGGAAGATGAATTCTGAGAACACAGGGAAGGCGATTGCACCCTTTGATGAGCAGGAGAGCCATTGCAAATTCTGCCGTCTAAGGATTCAACAGTTGAGAGAGATGAGGAAGTGTTACTAGTGGATGTTGAACTTCCCTCAGAGCCACACTTTTGGTTAAACTTCCATTTTTCTAGACGCCTCCAGTCAAGAACTCCAAAATTCAAAGCCTTCTCTTGGATGTTTTCTCCCCTCTCTATGTGTTGTAGATAGCAAGGCAAATTTGACATATGTTTGACAAGCTCGTCATGTTCAATTGCCTTTCTGTCACTCCCTTGTTTTTGTGGATTCCTGGAAGTTTTAGGTAGGACGAAGGTCTCATCACCTTCTCTATCTCCCTTTGCTTCCTCAATGTTTGACTGACTGCTAGACTGTTCAGCTTTCAACCTGTCTTGAAGGTCTAGACTTCTGTTCTCTTCAGGTGACAAGACCTCCTTTACGGTTCTTGACATCTGATCATTCTGATGATGCCTTGAACTTGTTTTCATCTCCATATTGTATACCCTTAGACTTTCTCAGTACTCCACATTACTTGATTACAGATTTGCTAGCATAGAGCCAAATATTCTCACCTTTCACCAGCATCTATTTCCTGCTAAACCAGTGCATAATGAAAGAAGATGGGTCATTTCTCTCAATCTGACATTCTGATATGTACCATAGAGGTATGTGCATTTTGTAGATAAGAAGCAAAACAGAGTGCAATCTATCAAAACCGGGAAAATGTGTCTCTGCTAACAATTGAATTCTATAACCCTCATACAAATCGATATAAAGTGCAAAACTATATTGAAAAGGTTTAGTGGAAAGAATGAAAAAAAAGTCCACAGAGTTGAAACATTTCTATTACAAGCACCTAGGCAATGCTAATCATTCCAATCATTAGGTTAAAAAACCTTAGAATCCTAAAATAGCCACACTGTTCAAGGCTCTATCTACGGTGTATAATATGTCTACTTAACTAGGATTCTTTCAACACTATATCAACTGTATAGACCATGATTGTCATATGTTCAAGACAAGGAGCTCAGCTGGAGTTTCTAACTGTTCATTCAGCCAATTCTTCTCATTTACTGGGTGAGTTGATTATATGATTGGATGTGAAATTCTGCATTTTGGAACAAATACAGTGCAATTTTACATTTCCATGGAGAGACATTGCAATGACTAATTTCATTTCCGTTAAGAAGATAATAGATGATGCCTTAATAGTGGACTGTATTCCACGGGCACTACTTCTTGAGAATTCAAGGAGTATGCCTTATGTTTAAGCGGGCTAAAAGTGGTAGTACTTGAGTTTCATTAAACTCAAGATAATGTGGCTAAATCTTTGTTGACAGTTCTTGGAATTGGTCTTCTCCTGACGAAAGCAAGCATGCTCACCCATGAGTTAAACTCCTGAATACCCCCTAAAGTTGCGAACTGTTCAGCAAACTAATGGCCAACTTAAACTTATCCCCCCCTCGGCTTTATTTTGGAAAATAGGGAAGAGAGAAAGGAAACGAAAAGGGCGATCAAGTAGACCTGAGAAACTGCCAACCACTGGTGAAGACATCAGGTGTTAGAATTAGAACGTTTCGCTGATTAGTAACCACCAACTGTTAGAAATTTTGCCAGCTTGTGGTTGTTACATTGGCATCGACTAATTGAAGAAGCGAGTAGATAAAAGACGACGATACGGACAAAACACCAAGACAGAAGGCTAGTGAACATGAAGAAATTGAATGGTCCATTATAACCCAATTTCAGAAGTTCTCAAGATGATAAAATTGTCTGGCGATCCTCACCTTAGTTTCTACGGCTTCTAGTATCCTACGAATGCCGGACGAGACAAGATTTTGTAGTCTATTCACGAGCAGAGAAAGGACCTAAGAGATTGGATCATGATTTTTTTTTATAAATTTTTCGGGAGGGTGCAAGGGAATTTCGAAGAAAATGCGCGATTTTTGTCTTGAATTTTCCCATTTTTGAATTGTACATGCATAGATATTTCATCATTTCGCGGTGGGGGCAATATCGTAAATCTAGATGTTCTGTTACAGCATAACATTTGTTAAACCTCTTAGACAATTGAAATCCTCTTCTCCCAAATCAGGCAAATGCTTAGGACTGAAACAAACCTCTCAGAATTCCATAGATCTACGAACTAGAATTACCCACCCCCCGCAAAGAAAAAAAATGCCCTGGTCTTGAAAATGGTTATAAGCGCAGAAGAAACAACAGTTGTACAAAAACATTGTTACCAAGGTTTCTCTATTGAATGGAAAAAAGAAGCAAAAATGCATACCGAATGGCATCGAAGAAATGCAGTAGTAGGGGCCACCATTGTTTGGAAGTCGAGGGTCTCCAAGAAGATCCGGTGCGTTTGGGCACATCAACTCAGGGGAAGCTGCTAGGATGAATGTAGTCTAAAGGCAAAGAAAAGAATTTGCAGAGACACAAAGAAGACAACAAGATCATCGCGAAACGCGGATGCGTTTCATCCCAAGCCGAAGCAGAAGGAAGAAAGAGAGGGAGAAGTGGGAGAGGGTTTTCCGGGATGGATTTGTCGTCGGCAGTCGAACAGCGGGTGTGGGTGTGGGTTCCTGATTTGATTACTTCTCAGAGAGAGAGAGAGGGAGAGAGAGGGGGTGAAGGACGAGCGCTTTCGTTGTCATGACTCATAAGGTAGAGTAGTAGAGTAGAGATAGAGAGGGCAAAAAGCGGGAGGGAGAGTAATAGGGGTGCGGATGGTGAGTATCATCGGTTAAAGACGCGGGAAATTGGGCATGGGACCCACTTGAGGTTGAGGTCCTGTACTGTTGATTAACGGGTTTTCCAAAGCAATGCTGGGAATAATGAGCCCCACCTGGTTTGGGTTACGTCACGAGACGAGACCGAGACCGTCCGATTTTGCTTTTTAGCCTTTCGAGGGCGCTATGCCTGCCCCCTTCCGACTTCTCTAATAAGGCTCTACTCTAAGGTGATGAGAGGGCGCCCCACAGCACCTCCCACCCGTGTATTGGGAGCATCTCCCATGATAAATACGGGAGATTCTTCCAATGAACGCTATGTGGGGCGCCAATGTGATCTCACTCGGTTGTTTGGAGCCTGGGTGCTTCGGAGTTGGAGTCGGAGGGTTTTCGAACTTCTCCTTTGTCCTTTTCTTTTTTCCGTTGGGTTGTAGATGTAGTGGGATGGCACATAGCACAGCAGTGGCTATTGGTTTGGCCAAAACCGTCTGATTAAAAAGATTTAATCCTGTACCTGACGTTGAGAAACCTTTTTTTTTTTATTTTAGGGATAAAAACAAGATACACGACAAAATTTCCTACCACCATCTGTATGACTGTATCTTCTATTAATTTGGAAAAAAACAAATTCAATACAAAATTATTATTATTTTTTAGAATCATCCAAAAATCTTACTGTGAGATGCCCGTTTTAACTGAGCCTCTGCTCACTTTGGTTTCCTACTTTCCTACACTGACTTTATTTTTTAACCCAATTTACTCATCCTGCCTTCCGAAAATGCCATCAACTTGCCATCGTAATTACAATTAACCTAGGTTGGAACAAGCAGGTGAGCATAGGACACGGGGGCTAGAAGGCCCAGAAACAGGAGAAACCGAACTGGACGGTCCAGTTAGTTACCAGTGTTTGACTCTGTTATAGCAATTGGCAATATATACAAATGCACGTGAAGAGAAGCACAATCATGTGAGAATTACTTTTATAAACGGTATTGGTATGATGGAGTGGAGTAGGTTTGCTTTCCTAAACCGCTTTCCTTTATGGATATTAGTTAAACAAACCAACCACAATGCTCCGACTGACCCGAGTCCGGTGCGAATGGGGGAGGGGGACTACAGAATGGAGCAGCCAAAATTGTGTGTGGGTCTGGACCACCGTTTATTAGATTGCAGCTTGCATTGCATGAATCATGATGAAGCTTAGCTGGAACCTGATTGGCCCATCCAGAAAGGATTGGGTTCCTAACAACATTGGCTTGGGCACTACGGTTACGGTTGAAGCCTTGGACAATTAATCTCTTCTATTATATTTAATTAGCAAGGAAACTGAACAAATATTAACAAGCTAAATATAAATTATTCAACATTTATATTAAACACACACTCAAAAAAACATAAATATTCAATATTCTGAAGTGTGAACCTTCATTTTTGAAAATCGGATGAAGGTCTTTTGCAATTTGAGCAGACGTAGAATTCTATACAATTTGGTATAAAATGTGGGTTGAAAATTTTCTGTAAGATTTGCAGAGTAGTTCGTGGTTTTAATGCGTATAAAATTTTATATGTGAAATTTGTGGTCTTAAATACGGTGGAAAGATGTGAAATATTTTTAAATAAGTTTTTTGTGTTGCTTATTTAATTAACTAGGGAAAATCTATGCTGCCGGAAAGAGATGATATGGGACCAATATTGATAAATACCATTCTATAATACTGATGATTGGTTAAAGTTTTTTTTTTTTTTTCTGATATCATAGTTGAACCCTATGTAACTATTCTCTCAGCCTGACAAAGAGAGAGATCCTAAAAGCCCATTTGGGAGGGCTTAAACTTTCAAAGAGCTGCATTGATTGAACTACGTTGAAGAAATTATTGAAATTAATTTCATTGAAAAGTCAATTTATTAGCTCAATTAAAGCACATTTTGGCTTTTAGATATTTTTTTACCAAACATAGTTTCTAGGTTCTACCCCTGTATGAGACACCCACCTTACAAAGCCAGAAGTTGCTTGCACGAAAACACTAGACATGATTTTGATTTGATTTCCCATGCTAATTGATGGTGCGCAATTCGACCGGTCCTACCTATCAACGACTTTGCCTCTGACCGGAGCAACAGGGGGCTTGAAACGGAGAAGGAAGTGTGGAATCTCCGGGGAGGAACCCAGTGAGATTGCTCCGAAGCTCAAGTTAGTATTCTGTCAAAGGCAAGATAAAACCAAATGGCGCAAAGTTCACATACCTTGTTCTTGGGGGGTAGAGAGCCTTTTATAACCACCTCGCTCGCGCACTCACTCCTAAGCTTCTGTCAGGTCGGGTATGATTACTTCTGTGCTTCTGCCAGTTTGGGTGTCATCACCTCTGCTGGGGTAGAACCGCCACTGCTCTCTTTGTCGGAGCCATCTCTGTAACTGGAGATGGCAGTGGCAGGTGGCCGTTGAAGTGCGGCTGTAAAGCGTCAGATCCCAAGTCAGTCAGGTGCACCGCCCCTGGATACGGACTCCTTCGGTGTCAGGTACGGTGTGGTTTGTTTAGTTTGGCGTCCTGGAGGCAAAGTGCTGGAGTGGTGTGCAAGGTGAAGTCTTGAGTTC